ACCCATTAGATTTTCTCTGATGTAAGCATTTTAATGCAATTTTCCCTAATGTAAAGCATCAAAACATTTTGAGCACTGAACTGGAAACCCAGGCCATATATCATTTTGGGAACTCAGAATCAGGTCGGTTTGTACTGAAATGAGAACCAGCCCCTGCTCATTGAATGCCTTCCACTCATCCCTGCTATTGCGTTGGTGCCCCATGCTTAGTAATGCTAGCCCTGGTGCTGGGTGCTGGGCCTGGAGGTGCAGCATGGAAGGATTTCACAGGTGTAGACCCAGTACTAAGGCCAGCCTGCAGGGTGCAGGTCTCAGGCCCCTCATTTCTGGACAGCTTCCACATGACTCCCACCCTGCCAAGTGGCAACAGTGGGTTGTGGGAAAGGAGAAGAAGCAGGACTGTCAAAATACTGAGTGAATAGAAAAGTTTTGGCCCCTTGCTGGAATGAATAAACCTCCTTCAAAGAGGACGCCGGAAGAAGGACTTCCATGGAAGATCATAAAGTTCTGGCAGGTGTTTATGGAAGGAGACATTTTCATCAGACAGAATGAAAGGTAGCATAATCTCAGAGGGGGCGGGGGGGGGAGAACCAAATTAGGTTAACATGGGATTGATAACTTTTGCATTGCTGATAATGGGTTATTTACAAGGCTGAAAATATTTGCATTGCTGATAATGGTCTGTTTGCAAAGCTGGGTTACAAGTAACTGAAAACATTTGCAATTCATCAAACTATTCACTAGAGGATTAGAGACTATAAGGTTTTAGGAAGGACTCACAGAATACTTACAGAAAAGTCAAACTAAACCCTTGGAATGAGTTTCGGTTTTAGCACATCCACAATTGTTGTAGGAACCAGTCACAATCAGGAGGGAAATAGTTTCTTCAGACCTGTCTGGAGTGGCCCCTCAACATTATTTGAGATCGTAACTGCCTGACCATCACCCGAAGGTTTTTTGTTTAGTTGCAAAGTTGTGCCCGATCCATCACGACTCCATGGAGAACACTCCTCTGGCTCTCCTGTCCTCTACCATCCCTCAGAGTCCACCCAAGCCCACACCCACTGCCCCAGTGACTCCATCCAGCCACCTCATCCTCTGCCATCACCCACAGTACAAAAGCTTAAGTGGTAATTCAATGGTTCACTTCTAGAACACACGCCAAGCGGTCCAGAAAGTGGCTGTTGAACGATTCAGTCCTGCTTGCTCCTGATTGTCTGCTGAGTTGCAAAAAAATATGCTACTCCTGCCCACTTCTAGGCAGGCTTGGGATTTCAGTGCTATTTGAAAGTGCTGCTGAGTAATTCAGTCCTCCTTACCTCTGAGTATGGACATAGGGGCTTGTTCTGCTTATTTCTGAGTGTGCTTAAAATTGGCCACCTCGGGCCATGTTCTTATATATTTGGCTCTGCTCACAGATGGAATATAAGCCTAAGACCTTCCCCATATTGGAATTGAACCTGTGGACTGAAAAAATCACCCTCTCCAACTCAGAATCACTCTGCACAATTGGAAACCCTACAGAAAAGATTCCCTGTTCATGTGTAAAGAACCTACTCATAGTTGTACCCAAATAAACCTCAGACCTTTAGAAAAGTATTGTCTGAAAAGGGCCGTTCTGTTATCCCATTGAAAAGCAATGATATCTCCTTCTTGCTCTTTAGGTCCCTCCTCTCCAGCTCCTGGACTCAGAGTTAGTCTCCCGCCTCATCCTTCCCCTCTCCTGTTACCTTGTTTCATTTCTTTTCCAAATGGAAAACCACCATCAGCATTTAGCCCAGTTATGCATTTGTGTGTCCACCGTGCCCTTTCTTTGCCTGATTTCCAGAGTAATTTCATGTAAGGCACTGAAGGGAAAGAATACTCCAAACACTTTGCCACAGTCGATGTACCAGGTGACAACTATAACAGAGAGAAAGAAGCGCCCTTTTCTGGGTTTATTTTAAATTGTGTCATTGAGTCATATAAGATTTTGTAAAACAAAGGGTTAAATTGGGATAAAAAGAGGAAAGGGGGGCATGTGTTATTTTGATGCAATGTATCTCCTGAGATTAATTCTTTTTAATGGTTATTTAATTACTCAGGCTTACTTAGGCTGTGTCATACTTCATCTGGTCTGCCAGAAAAATGAAACAATTGTTTGCAAAAGCTTATTGCAATAAAAATTAAACTCTTGCCATTTACAAACCAACAGCTTGGAACCTGCACCTGGGGGAACAACGCGTTGCGATACATGTGAAGCATTTCCGTTGCAAACGCTCATGTCTGTAAACACTTAGTAGTAGGGGAATGGGAGACATTTGACCTGGATGGGTAAGATGAACTGAGACCAAGTGCATGGGGTGGGGGGAGCAATGCCGGGTGAGGCCTTCAGGTTGTGGTTTGGAGCAGGAGCACAGAATCAAGCTGCAGAGAGGTTTGTTCCAGTGAGGTGGGGCTACTGCAGTCCAGAGGGAAGTTCTCCTGGGGATTAACTAATCAATGCATGCATCAAAGCCTGACAGATATACAGAAGTTGGAGAGCCTCGCTGGCAACATAACAGAAGGCATAATTCCCTGTGGGGGCAAGACATTGTTCACCTGGAATCTTCAGATCCCTCTAGTTCCATAATTTGCTGACTTTATAGTATAAAGCTGCATGACGTGTGTGTATCCTTCACAGCACTGGTGTTGCACATCTTAAACAAAAGGCTTAATAACTATGGGTATTGTCCCTTGCTTTGCTGTCTTGGCATCAGTCTTATGGAAGAAGTCTTCTTCTGTCTGAGGCAGCGCATAGCCTAAGCCACAGATAGCAATGGGAGCAGCTGCTAGGGAAGGCCATGCAGGTGGCTGAGATATGCTTTAGCTAACAAGAGTTCTGTCCACCTCGAGAAGCAGAGGAAAGGATGAGCAGTCAAATGATATGTGCTTGTGATTGCTAATGATAGACACCTGATGAGTATCTGCATTTGTATCCAAGATTCAGTGGGTTAAGGTGAAAGGACAAGGCAAGGCAAGGCCTTCAGGCTGCAGTTCAGAGCTGCAACTGAGAACCAAACCTCTGGGAACAGCCTTCCAAACTGACAAAGAGCCAGTGCAAAGCAGACAGAAATTCTTCCTGAGGATAACTCATCAATGCTTGTCCTTGAGAGTTGATCAATTCCTAACAAATACATAGAATGTGACCTACAGCAATTACAAATGCCAAGTCTGGAAGGCAGCAAAATAATGTGCAATTGGGGCAGAATAGATATAGGTGTGGATATCTAGTGCTGATAGCTAGAAATAGCAACCCATGTGTAATGAGGCTCTAATTCAGGGGAGATTGGTGACCCCTATTTCAAGTGGAATGACAGCAGTTTAAATGGAGCTTTATGGGAGCTGTCCGTGGTGCTGAAACTACCCTCAAACTGAATTCACCACCACAGAGCACCATGCGTAGCTTCTACAATGGTCACAATAAACTCTGCAATGAGGAGCTCCACTGAGCTAGGAATCTTGGCTTTCCCCATCTCCCTGATAACCGAGTTTGAGGCAATACTAATTACCATGAATCATGGTTAGTGCAAATGAAAATATAATGCCACACTTTGTTATTGCAAACCACAAAAGAGAGTGCAAACACTTACATTATGGTCCCAGACTCTTAACATGGAACCTTAAGTCTGCACTGGCGTAAAGCTTCTCTATTTCCCCCATTTGGCTGGGAAGAATGGGACTTGCACTCCAACACATCTGCTGGGCATTAAGCTGGAGAAGGTGGGTCTGTGGGTTCAAGACAACTATGACACAAATTGACTGAAATGGCACCATGTAATATGCCAGCAATCAACCAGATTGTTAATACTCAGGGAGTAGAGACATCAAAGACCAATCAAAGGAGTGGTAGGCCAAAGCCAGAAGCGTGTCAATGCCTCTTCCCTTTTTACCAGACCTCACAACTGATATTCCCAGGGACTCTAAGCTTCCCAGTTGTTTTCCATTCATTCCCAGCCAGCTATCATGTTTCTTAAATGGGGTGCAGAAATCCAGAGCCCCTGGCCTCTAAAAAAAAAAACTATTTATTTAAATTTATTTATTTAAAACTTTTTTAGACCATTCCTTACCAAAGTCTTGGGATGGTTTAATAGTAAGTCAAAAATAAAATAAACACAGCATCCTAATTCATCCAAAAAATCAGGTCTTGTGACTGGTATTTGAGTTGCTGAAGAAGTTGGAAGCAGCTTTTCACTCTTATCTCCTAGAAAAGCTTGCTGGCTTCTAAATTTTGGACCCACTCCTCCTTGTTTCTTAGCAATACAGCACATGGGCACAAATGTAGACTTTGTTTCAAAACAAACCGATCCAGTTTGTTTTGTTTTATGAAAAAAGATGAACAGCGGGGCAGGTAAGTTTAGGCTAGGATGCAAGACCCAGCCCTTAGTATTATTTCTATATGTATACATGTTCTTCTCGGCCGTGAGAACAAGGAACTGAGTAATGCTACAGGAGCATTGATGTGAGACAAAGCAGAGACCCAACTGCAATGAAAGGTCTTTATTTTCAGTACAACTTCTAAAGAAGAGAAGCTCTGAAACTCACTTGCTTTTTATTAGTGCTTCCAGTGTCACGGAAATGAAAGCTCGTATTAAAGGTAGTGTATGTTTCTATCATAAAAAAGAAAAGGGAAAATACACCCCTACCAGGTTGCTATTTATCAGTACTACAGGAGATTCTTTTATTAGCTCTTTGCAGAATGTACATTTCTTGTGATGTAGTTATTGATTCAACAAGTAAACTTTCTAGCTGGCTTTTATCTGGGAATTAGCATTCCAGACTGAAATGGACCCCACATTATTCCAGTAGTGCTGAGATACAAGACCGCTGCATATTCACAGAGCCATCACGCTATTAGGGTTCTCTCGGTTACAACATGAAAGTGCAGTCTTAAAGGACTCCAGCAATTATGACATAGTACTGTCAGACAATTCGAAATCCTTCTCATGTTTGTTGTGTGCGTGTTTTTAATCTTTCCACAGGTTTGGACATTCGGCAAGCTCAGGTTATTGTGCTGTCATCGGGTACCAAATGCATAAATGGAGAATACCTTAATGACCAAGGACTGGTGGTCAATGACTGCCATGCAGAAATTCTGGCAAGGAGGGCCTTCGTTCACTTCCTGTACTCACAGCTGGAGCTGCACCTCAGGTAAGCTTGGTTTGGAAAATGCTCGGACAAGGAGCGTTGTCAGAGGTCTCTGAAATTTCTTGCAGGGACAAAGCGGAAATTTTACAAGTGGCCTTGGCCTCCCTAAGTTAACAAAAGAAAGGAAAAATCAGGCAAAGTAAAGGGAATGAAGGAAACAAAATAGTTAAAAAGCTAACAGCTGCATTGGATTAGAACAAAATGGAGCCCAGCCCTGACAACTGTATTCAAGGTGCTTTTTTCTACATGCAGCGTTTATAACATGTTTGTCATTCCTGCTTGTGGCTGTTTACAGGGTATTTAGGTGATGCCATGAATCTCCAATTTTGCTTCTGTGTCTAATAAACAAAAATTTTTAAAGAGCAGAGGGGAAGCGCTGCTTCATTGCAAAAGTCAACAAAAGACCATTTCCAGTTGTGCATTTGTGTTAATCTGCTATACTATAGTGCCACCTAGAGATTATGTAGGGGAAACACAAGAAAAAAAGTTCCTTTGGTAGTGCTTGGATTTAATTTGGCAATAAATCTAAAAGTAAATAAAGCAGAATAACAGGCAATTAACATACTTGTTAATATACTCAAAGGCTTCTCCTTCTATTACTGGAGGCAATGCATAATTATGAGGATGGTCAGCCATAGCTAAGCATATTCTTCTTGAATTTGTCCAAACCATTTTAAAGCCATCCAAATTGGTGGCCATCACTGTATCTCACGATTGTGAGTTCCACAGTTTAACTATGTGCTAAGTGAAGAAACACTTCCATTCATTGATCCTGGAGCTCTCCCCATTTAACTTCGTACCATGAGCACAGGTTCTCGTCCCATGGGAGAGACAAAGAGCGAGAGACCTTCAGCCAACCTGCTTTCTCTGCACCATGCATCCTTTTATGCACTTCGATCATGCCCACCTCCTTAGCTGCCTTCTTTCCAAGCTAGAAAAAGACCCAGACATTGTACTGTTTCCTCCTGGGGGTGGGAAAGGGTTTTCCTGTCTCCTGGTAATTTTTGTGGTTCATCTCTGCACCTTTCTAGCTGTCCAATATCCCCTTTCGAGGTGCAGTGATCAGAAATGCACGTGGTCTTTAATGTGTGGGTGCACCACCATTTTGTGTTAAGGCATTATGACATGCGTACTTTGATTCTCCCATTCCTTTCCTAATGATCCCCAACATAGAAATTGCTTTTTCCACAGCTGCTGCACACTGGGATGATGTTTTCATTGAACTTCGGGATCAGTCAGTGTTACCTCAGGCCCCATCAGCATATATGTGAAGTTAGGATTTTGTGTCCTGTGTGTGCCACTTTACACCTGCTAGCAGTTAACCTCATTTGGCCTCTTGAGATCCAGTCTAGAGAGATCCTAGGAGACTCAGGGGGGATCCGTTGGCGACAGGCAGGCGTGTGAGGGGATGTCGCATGGGATGCGTGAGGACCTGTTCTCCCCTGCAGAGGAAGGCGGGACGCGCTCCAGCAGAGCCAAGCTTGGGGAGCCGGGGTTTCATTTGGATGCCGGGGGGCACCTGACAGTTGGGGCCCTGAGGGTGTGGAATGGGTTTCCACGGGAGGTCATTGAGGCCCCATCGGTGAGAGCATTCAAAGATAGGCTGGACATGCACATGGTGGGCATGTCGTGAGCAGAGCTGACACTGGAGTGGGGGTCAGACTAGATGGCCTGGGAGACCCCTTCTGACTCGTGCTGTTTCTATGTTTCTGTCCTTTCGGAGCTCCTCCCAACTCCCCCATAGACACACCCTGCTGAATAATTGGGTGTTTACCGCAAACCTGGCCACCCTCCCTGCTTACCCCTAATTCCAATTCATTTATGAACAAGCTACACAGCCTGGCTCCCAGTACACATCCTTGTGGGACCCTAGTGATTTATCTCAGCGCTGCAGTTCCTGTAGTCACGATATATAGTTTTGGATGGTTTTTTGGAACAAATATCTGCTCAACCCAAAGGTCATGGAAAACCCAATTAAGACAACAACACTTTTGACAACAATATTATGTTGATATATCAGCCCTAGGAAACAGATGAAATAACAGGTCACCTTCGAACAGGCTGGTGCATGGGTGCAAAGCAATCTCTTGTGTGTGCAGCCCCAGGCAGAGAGCAATAAACAAATTTTCATCAAGTTCCTGGTGAGAGCTGTCATACTTGGCTGGTGGCGAGCTGCATTCAGCTTGATGGGTCCCCAGTTGTGCAGGGCTAGGAGAGAGTCTCAGCGAAACGTTCAATTCATGGTAGCACTCCATTGCATCCCAATAACCCGAAGTCTGGTTTAACCCAGTTTGGAATAATGAGAGCTGTGAAAGAGCTGGTTTTCTAGCTCACCATTTTTGACTTGCTTGGTCCGTATGGGCCAAACAACTGCACAAAGCAAGTCAGATTTAGTCTGCAGGCATTTCATGGCAGCCTATTTTCCTTCAGCAGGTATTAGATTTTAATCATCAAGCCATGTTTTACAAATCCTCTTGGTTGTTTGCAAGGGATGCTTTAGCCACAGACCAAATAAGAAGAATGAATGGCCGCCGAATGAACGGCTGGCCGTCTCCTCATTATGGGCATTTTCTTCCTTCACTGCTGCTGAGTCACACTGGAGCAGATTATTTACGACGAACATGCTCCCCTGTATTTTGTTGGTCATTAATACATTCCTTGGATCATAAAAAAGCTACCCACTGGTGCGTGAAGCAGACAACCGCCCTGGAATCAGTACACAGCAATGCTCCCAGCCCCACACAGAGTAAAACTTTGTCATTCACTACCACAAAATGTAGGGGCAGCCATTCATGTGCATGGCTTTAAAAAGGTGGATTGGACAAATGGGTGAAGGAGGAGATCAGTGACTGCTGGTCCCAAGGACTGTGCGCTACCTTTAGTATCAGAGGTGGCATACCTATGTGCCCCACTTGCTGAGCCGCATGGGCAAGAGGTGCTGTTGTACTCCCATCCTGGTTGTGGGTTTCCCACAGACAGCTGGTTGGCTGCCGTGCGAACAGGCGTGATGGACCTCGGCGCAATCCAGAATTGCTTTCCTTATTTTCTTTGTCTGCCAAAAATGGCACAGTCTAGAAAGCAATGAGGGAATTACCTTGATCTAGATGTCCTGCCATTGGGTTTAGATCATCCCTCTCTTAGAGGTTCTTCAACAAGAGTTACCTGAATCCAGCCTGAATCTGTGAGCTGCTGTATATTAGACCTGGTACATTAATGGTATGGCTATGCATGTGTTGCGAGTGCAGATGGTGGATACAGGGAGCCTGACCTGCCTCAGGACTGGGGCAGGGAATGGGGATTTGAACTGCCTTGGTCTCCAAAAAATCTTTCCTCAGAAGCCTCTGTTTGCACTGTGATTAACTCCCCTGTTGGAGGAGTTTTCTATCAGGTTTGTGGTGGGGAAGGAAATGGTTCAATGGTTAAAGGCTCCATGATCCCAAGAACATATCAACAGCATTAGAGATGCTTCACACAAGTCCCTGCATCACCCAGTAGCTCATCCTTCTGCACCTTGCAGATGAACTGGTGAACTGCTTCCACCAAAAAGCCTTTCAGGCGTCTCAAGGTGATAGGAAAGTTCCTTGGTCCACTGAGCCTGTTTCGCACATAAGGAACTGTCTTATGCCCTGCGTCTAACACTGGCCCGTCTAGCTTAGGCTTGCTGTTTGTCCCAAACTCAGAAGAGAGAGCGTGGAAAGCAGAACAGGCCAAGCACCTGGTGGCTCCAAAGGAGCCAGGCCTTTCCCACATTCTTACCATGTGAGGAGCCTTGAAGAGCACAGATGGAAGGGGTGGGCATTTGGAGGCATCATGCGGAAACCTGCAGTTTTGGGTAATGGGACCTTGGGCACAACTAGAGCGGGTGGTCAGACTAGATGGCCCGGGAGACCCCTTCTGACTCACTCTGTTTCTATGTTTCTATAATATGGCCAGACCATTAGATATCATTTTCTGGAACATGGAGCTAGATCCAGAATTATCCAGATTATCTCATTTTTCTTATCTATGTTATGTCTGCTTCAGGTTGCACCACTGAACAACCTAAGCTATTTTCACATTCTCCTACAACTCTTCATGATATTCTCATAATCAGTGTGTTAGCTATTTTATTTGTTTGATTTATAAAACCGCACCCAATAGTCCCAAACTCTCTGCAAGTGAGGTGCCATGTTCTGCATCTCCTGCCCCATTCCCAACATCTTCATTGCTTTTCACCACCCACCCAGCAGCAATCAGGTTGTGCTTCTTTCCTAAGGACTTCCACCAAATTCCAAACCCATTCCATACTCTCCTGCCAATTTTCTCGGCTTGCTTGGTGTCTTAGGGGTCTTCTAGTTGTGACCTGTCTTCTGACCTGGTTTCTCCAATGGGTCAGACGTCCCCCTTGAAAACCTGACTTCACACCACTCCTAGGTTTTTCCCTGTGGTAATTACTACAAAAATTTACAACAGACCCCATGAGCAAAGTTATCTCTACTGCTGCACAGACCTGAAGAAATATTTTAGCATGCCAACTGGTTTAGATAGACTTCTTTATAGCAGTACAGGCCTTCCTAAGGAACAGCTCCCTCTTCCAGCCTCTCATGGATGCATTTTCAGTTATTATTATTATTATTATTATTATTATTATTATTATTATTATTATTGGATCCAAGGATTAAAAATAATCCAGACTGTTTACAACCTAAGCCACAAACTAGTGTGATTCTGTTTCAGACACAGAAATACATAGGGGCCCTTTGCTTTCTGCTTCAGTTGCCTCCCCGCCTCAGTGCAGCCACAAATCATACCCTCTGATTTCTGTTTTCCCAATGCACTCTGCATATGCTCAGAGATGAGCATTTCTTTTATTATTTCACAAATTCAAAACCCGTTGGATGGTTTATGTGAATATATACAGTAAGTGCTAAACTAAATGCTTGTATATTATCTAAGACGGGGTGGACAGAGAATAGATCTGTTCTAATGATGAGTCTCTGACTGATGTGTAATTGATCAGCAAG